AGGCTACGGGTGAAAATTGCTATAATGAAACAGAACCCATTTTGAGAGAGGGATACAGGGGAAGTGGATCAACACCCAGAATGATGGAAATAACAGAGGCGGCCATCCATGAATTGAAAAGCAGAGGTTTAACGGTACAAATCCTCAACATAACTCAACTCTCGGAGTACAGAAAAGATGGTCACCCATCAATTTTTAGAAGGCAATGGGTGCCCCTAACTGAAGAGCAATTAGCGAACCCAACAAGTTATGCAGATTGTGCACATTGGTGCCTTCCTGGAGTTCCTGATGCTTGGAATGAGCTCTTGTATGCCTACATTTTCCGTTATTGATAGATCAAAGTTCAAGTATTATGAAGATTTGTATTAATGTTTGGTGAAAATTATAGAAAATATTAACATAGTGTTTGGACTTAAAATAAATCAATCTTATGAATATTCTATGTATTGACATTTGACAATATAGATGCACTAAAAAAATGTCACGTGACAAAAAATAGAGAAAAAGGGGGAGATTTAATTAGATGTTACTATTCAATAATCGTCGATGGAAACAAAACTGTCGAATACAATTGACTCCAAGTTAGGGAAGCATGCAAGGAAAATGGCATTATTCCAAGTGAAACTAGCTCCCCTCAGATACATTGCCCCCTTTTCTTAAGTAAATATTGAGTGTAACAGTAATATAATGTTAGCAGTATTAATGTAGTGTAATCATTTAATAAAAAAAACTAGAAAATAGATAAAAATGGGTCCATTTTCTATCAAGGGGTTGTTATGAATTACACAGTTGGGTGATTATGAATTTTTGTGGAGTTCACTTACAGACTAGATTTGTTTATTTATTAATGGACGGTTACACCGCATGATACTTTTTTACTGATATGGTGTAACGATTACACCTAATATTTTTTCTGACCAAGTAGTAAAGATGGTAGCACAGATACAAAATCTAAAAAAGTGGAAATTTGGAGCAGACACTTTGTGGAAAGTAACGAATTAATTAGAATTGTATAATAATTGTTAAAAATCAAATCCAGATATAGTGAAATAAAAACTCTGGGAGTGATAATGTGAGATGCAATAAGATCCTCATACTTGGGTGATTCTTTCATCAATACCCACCAAATCATCAAGTTTGGGAAATGATCTTCCCAAGTGTAGATGACTTGCGACACCTTTAACAAAAACATTCTAATTTTTCATAATACAACTATAGAGTTGTAATTGGGGAGAAATTATACTAAGAAATGGTTGCATAATTAATAAATCAAATGACTAATGTTATGTTTGGTATGGTTAATGATAAAAATGGAAAAATGAAAAATACAAGTGACATATTTTTTCTATGCTTGAAGAGAGGAATTATTCCTTCTCTCTTTTGTGTTTGGTAAAAACGATATAAAATGCAAAATATTATAAATGTGTGTGTTGTATCTATATAATAGTACTAATGTGTACATAAATATGTCGTAGATAAATAAGATATATGAATATATTAAAGGATATAAAAGTAAATAATATATATCTCAACACACATAATTATTTTTTTTCATTTTTTCTCTCAATTTTGAAGTGATAAATTTTGGTAAATTAGAAAAAATGTTAATCTATCAACTTTTTTATCATTCTTATTTTCTTCACTTATCAAACATGATATTTTATCTATTTTTTCAACATTTCATTCATCTAATTTTTTCTTCATACCAAACAAACCAAAAAAGAATAGGCACAAGACATAAAATGAGACATGAGATCGAATCCTACGGATCAGGTCTCATATTATTTTTTGGAAAATCAATTTATTTTTTCTCAATAATTCTCATCCATTCTTATGGGGCAATTTGGTAATGAAGAAAATAGGGTGGATGGAAAGTAGAGGATCAAAAATAAAATGAAAAGATTGGTTTTCCATGTGTTTGGTACAAATGAAAAATAAGGGGGAGAGGAAAGTGAAAGGGAAAAACTATATGACTTCTGCCCACCAAATTTTTTTCAAATTTTGAGCGAAAAATTCAATGAAAAGAAAGATTTTATGGTTTTACCCTTATATGTACTTACTATAAGGGTATGTTTTTTTTAAGGAGAATGATGAATGAGATTAGAGATTTATTTTCCGTCATCTCCAACGTTATGAGTATGGAAGGTTTAATTTAATGTTTTTTTAAAATTTTCTACCATGTTTGGCTTATGACTTACAATGCATGTGGGTCCACAAAAAAATAATGATTGTATTTGTTAATTGACTTAAATATCCCTCTGTGTTTTAGATTATTAGATACTTGAAAGACCAATATTATAATTTATTTTTTTTATGGTCCCAACAATAAAAGTAAAGATTTTTTTTTTATATAAATTGACTTTAATGCCTTTATCTTGAATTTGAACATTAGGTATTAGAAGAGTTAATTTAATAATCTAGTATCATTGTTAGTTTTCTACTTTATTTTAATACCACCTCCCACGTGATATTAGATATACCCATATAGATGAGGTTTGGCGGCACTATTTATACCGAGTCAATATTAAGATTCAAAAATTAGTATTTTATTAAAAATAGTTAACAAACAAAGTATATGCGAGACTTATATACTAATAAACATTATCCCCACCCCCTGTATTTCTATCCCCACTTATCCTTCCATCAAACACACCCTAAGGGACTAATTGGTAAGGGGGTATAGGGGATTTGGTAAAATGGGTTTGGGGGAAATAGTTTAAAAGACTTTCAAATCTTATGTTTGGATTGAAAATTAAATCTTGAGTTTTTAAACTCGGCTTCTAGCTGACCCAATAATTAAATCCATTGATCATGAGTTTCACCAAACTAGTGAGGGGGTGAGTTTGGGAAGATGAGTTAAGGGATTAAAGATACAAAAGATAATTGTATCCCTTAACATGGGTATGAATTGAGTTGATCAAGGATGAAATACTCATTTATAAGACAAATAGTTATTAATAATAATGATATATTCATGTGTTTTATATGTATACTAACGATACCCCGTGACTGAAGTCACTAAATATTAAATTATGACACTATGTGTGTATTAGAATGTGTGTGTACAGCTGGAGTGTATATGTAATGTGTGTGTGTGTGTGTGTGTGTGTGTGTGTGTGTAGTGAGTGTGTACTGGAGTATGTGCTATGGAATACTTGTGTTGAATTTGTGAAATTTGGGAGGGAAAGTGTGTGAAATTTGGAGAAAAAAATATACCCCCATAAATTCAAACACCTAGCTATCTTATTATATAGATGTATTACATACCAAACATAGGTATGAACCGAATTGAATATTGAATTCCATCTTTATAAAAAATGATTTGAGTTTGAAAAAATCAATTCAAATTCCTTCTTAATATTTATTCAAATAAGCCCTAATAAGACCATTAAACTCAAAGCGAAGGATTCAAATTAAATATTTTTTTAATCAGCAATAATGCACCGACTTGTGGTTTTTAACAAGCACGGAAGCGCCGATACCAGAAAAAAAAAAAAAAAAAGATTGGTTCAAAGCTTAGTAATTTTTCTTTAATACCTTCGAAAAAAGAAATTATCTTCCCATTTTTTTCATCTACAGTGTCAAACAAAAAATGTATTTCCTCTTTTCTTTTATTTTTTCATTCCTCCTCTCAAACAGATCATTAGTCAGATTGGTCCACCAAATCACGTAAAAGCAGCCCATTAGCAGGTAGATCATGTTTCGTAAGGCGCGCTGCACGATATCAATGTAATTCCACATAAAGTAATTCACTCGGATATTACACCAGTCGCTGTTGGCTGTACAAAATCCTTGCACTAATCGTGACATGCTTAATTTAGAGCAACTAAAACATACATTCCTCTCTCTCTCTCTCTCTCTCTCTCTCTCTGTCTCTCTCTAGAATGATGCAGAGATGGCACAAGAAGAGAACACAGGTCCCTCTCATAGCACTGATCATCTTTATCTTCATACTCTCTACTATCCTCTGCAACGAACGTAGCATTCAGAAAATACATCAAGACCAAGGTCACAATGATGATGGTCACCATCAACATATCATCAAGCAAATCCCTTTGTACAAGCTTTCTCCCCCACAGAATAACACCCTCCCAAAAAGACCTCCAGGTTAGTCTTTTTATGCCCAAGATTGTCAAAATCTATTTTTTTTTCCCAATATTTATACACTGTAGTCTACTAGGGTTTGTTTACTGGTCTAACCGTCTAAGGATGTACTTTGTCTATTTTTTTGAAATTTCGTAATTAAATTTTTTTACCTTCATGCTCCTTGTCATATGTGCATATATGTTTTTCTGGGTCTGTTGATGTGTTGTCTCCATTTCTTGTAATTTGAATATATGGGGAGACCTTTAATTTCATGGCTGTTATCTTACAAACAATATATGTATGTGTCTATGAATATGTTGTTTTCATTTTCTTGTTATTTTAGTTAATTCCCACCCTTAATTTTATGTTTCTCTTTGATTTGATCTGATTATATATCTGGGAATTTTTTGGGGGAAATTGTAGTGGTTTTGGATAGGTTTAGTACATGCCGGTCCACTGTAGACTACAGTGGAAGGAGAGCTGAACAGGTTGTCCAAATGCCGGAGTCCAACTACTGGAGAGTAAGTCTGGAGTCGTGTGACTTGTTTTATGGCAAATGGGTGTTGGATAATACTTCGCATCCACTCTATAATGAGTCGGATTGCCCATACATGTCAGACCAATTGGCTTGTCACAAGCATGGAAGGCCTGATTTGGGATACCAGTTCTGGAGGTGGCAACCCAACAATTGCAATTTGAAGAGGTACTCTCTGTTTCTGAGCTGCAGAGTAATGAAGTCTCGTGGTGTGTGTTTTTGGTTAATTATACTTGTTTTTTGGCATATGGACCTACTAGTTTTGTCAACAAAGAATGGTCCATTATTTGAAAAAACTGTGAGTTTCTGCTAGTTGGCTTTCTTGACTTGTTTTTGTTGATTTGTAGATGGAATGTGACTGGAATGTGGGAGAAGTTGAGAGGGAAAAGACTAATGTTTGTAGGAGATTCACTGAATAGAGGACAATGGATATCAATGGTGTGCCTTTTACAGTCTGCAGTTCGAGCAGATAAGAGGTCCGTGTCTCCAAATGCTCCTCTTACCATCTTTAGATCAGAGGTACAATTCCATCCTAGTTGCAATTTGGAAATGTGAGCTTTTATTAAAATATTGAAGTGGTCTTGAAATTTATGGGTTTGTGTCTTCAATATTTTGTTTGGTTCATTGGATATAATGGGAAATTTTTAACTTTTACTTCTGATTAAAATAGATGTTTTTATGGTGTATGTAGGAATACAACGCCACGGTGGAGTTTCTATGGGCGCCGCTTCTTGTTGAATCTAACTCTGATGACCCAGTCAATCATAGACTGGATGAACGAATCATGCGTCCAGATTCAGTTCTAAAGCATGCATCTCAGTGGCAGCATGCTGATATACTGGTTTTCAACTCATACTTGTGGTGGAGACAGGGCCCTGTTAAGCTGTTGTGAGATTCAATCCAGGTTTCATTTAGAATTTGCAAGGGAATTAATTATTGCCTCTCGCCATGCATTTAACCCTCTCAATTTGCAGATGGAGTACTGAAGAAAATGGGGTTTGTGAAGAAATAGATGGGCGGGGAGGTATGGAGTTGGCCATGGATGCCTGGGCAAATTGGGTGGCTTCTGAAGTCGACCCCCTCAAGAAGCGGGTCTTTTTAGTGACCATGTCCCCTACACATTTCTCGTGAGTGATGAGCCTCTTGTCTCAACTTTCTTGTTATACGATCATTGTTAATATATTATATCTTTCATCATTAACTTTGGAGTAATTTAATAATGACCCTTTCTCTTTCACAGTTATAAATAAATCTCTTATACATCTAGCAGTTACCCTTTGTAGTTATTTGATAACTCTGAAAGGAGACAAAGATTGGCACGGACAATTGCAATGCTCATCAATTGTTTGCCAAGTAAATTTCCACGTTTAACAATTTGTGCTCTAAAACCAGGGTTCTTAATTGTAGATTTCTCCATGGTGTTTTTTAAGTCTAAGGGCCACAGCTATAACGCTTTAACTGGTTTGTAATTTTAATTTCACAGAAACATTCAATATTTTTTATGCTTTAATTGGTGGTTATATATAGGTTTTCTGTACAGATTTGTGTGTCAGATGAAGAGTATATTTTTCCATGGCATCGCATATCGGACATGAAAGGAATTTATTTCGTTTAAGATGTAACATAGTTTCCTATTTTAAATAAATGCACACTGAGTTGAGTTTCCAACCCAAGCATTAGTAATTCAAGGCTTTGTTTCAATTGTCTTGTCTTTTAGCCTAGGGGCAAAAATATCTGCTTGAGCCCTAGGTAGAGCACAGAATGGAACGAAACCCATTCAGAGACTGGCAAATACAGAAGTTTGTAGTGGAGCTTTATTTTTAATTGTAGTCCCAAAACCACCACAATCTCTTACTCAAGTCTCAACGAAAATTAACTGGACAATTCCCCTAGCCTAGATAATTGTTTCCACTTCCCAAGGAACTATTCTGGAGGACTACCATAGGTTCCATGCATCTTGTGCCTTTGTAGCCATTTAAGCATCAAACCGCTGGAAACACACATATGTAACAAGAATTGTAGACTCTCATTTCACATTGCATTTGGTTCTATTGGCTTTCTAAAAGGAACAATATATAATCTTGTTGCTTACTTCAGGAGCAGCGTGGCACAACCCATTATTTGTCATTTATGTCAAGTAAAATCGGAACAGAGCCAAGTTTCTTATTCTTGGCCTACTAGATTCTCTTCTAGCATTTGGAGACCAAGGATGCTGCTTATTTTTATTTCTTTATATTGTTTCATTATCACACACACACACACACTCTCTCTTTTCTGAACCTACCTCAATTTCTCAATCAGGAGCCAAGAGTGGAAACCGGAGAGTGAAGGGAATTGTTACAATGAGAAAACCCCCATTGATGATGAAGGCTACTGGGGAAGTGGTTCGGACTTGCCTACGATGCAAATGGTGGAGAAGGTTTTGAGAAGGTTGAGTTCGAAGGTTTCTGTTCTCAATATAACTCAGCTCTCCGAGTATCGAAAAGAGGGACACCCTTCCATTTATCGTAAGTTCTGGGAGACACTAAGCCCCCAGCAATTGTTGAACCCAACAAGTTACTCTGATTGTATACATTGGTGTTTACCTGGTGTGCCTGATGTGTGGAATGAGTTGTTATTCCAATTTTTGTAAAGGGCACAGTTTCTTTGAAGTGCATAGTTATTAAAATTTTAGTTCTTGCCTTCTCGGAAACAGCCTCTCTGATAAGGTTGCCTACATTTAACCCTTTTCAGACTCTACAATGGCGGAAGCTTGTACACTGGATACATTCTTTTATTTGTTGGGTTTCCTTCCTTTGTGGGACTCATCAATTTGCTAATTTTTTGGTGGTTTACCCGTGTAGGACTCTTATCCAAGGCTTGGTTTGGAGTCTTCTAGTTAAAAAGGAATTTGGCAGCCATCAAAGACTATAAGTTTTGTCCTTTTCTTTGGTTCATCTATTCTCGGTTGGTTTGGCAAGAAGACATATTTTTCGGCAGTCTTTGGTTCAACAAAAATTCAGCCTTCTTCTTCTCCTTTTTTGGTGCCAGAAAAATCTGCAAATTTGTTCTTCAAGTGGGTAATATTTCTTCACTTGATATTTGGGTTTATTGCGATTTGTTCTTGGAGATTTGGTTCACTTATTTTGTGAGGTATTTTCCTCTTGTGATTTACACCTTGGTGTGTTTGTAAGGCTTATGCCTTTTGGCCACTTTGTAATCTGATTTGGTGATAGTGGAAGAAACTGACCTACCGGTCGTCGTGGATGTACCTCAAGTTATTTGAGGGAACCACGTAAATCTTGTGTGCTTATTTATTTTCTGTTATTTTATTTATATTGCTTCCATTGATTTACACTTGTGGGAAAGCCTATTTTCCCAACATCTGGTATCAAAGCAATTGGTTAATTCGGTTCCGATTCGTTATATTTCTGTGTGTGAATTATGGACGGCAACGTTGGACGTATGGTTAGTTTCAATGGCACAAATTGGGTGACTTGGAAAACTAAAATGGAAGATCTTTTATTTTGTAAAGATTTGAATGGACCCATAGAGGGTGATAGTGGCAAACCGGAAGGGATGAAAGATGACGAGTGGAAAAAGCTAGACCGAAAAGCTGTCGGTTTTATTCGGCAATGGATTGATGATAGTGTCTTTCATCATGTCTCTACAGAAAAACCTGCACATGGTCTTTGGACCAAATTGGAGAGTTTGTATGATAGAAAGACGGCAGTGAATAAAGCCTTTTTATTTCGAAAGCTTGTGAACTCTAAATATAAAGAGGGTACTTCTATTGCAGAGCATTTGAATGAGATTAAGAGCATTGTGAATCAGTTGGCCGCCATGAAAATTACTTTTGATGATGAGTTGCAAGCTTTGTTACTTCTTAGTTCACTTCCCGAAAGCTGAGAAACTTTGGTGGTCACAGTTAGTAACTCCGCACCAGATGGAGTGGTAACAATGAGTCAAGTTACCAGCAGTTTGTTGAATGAAGAAACAAGAAGAAAATCATCAGGTTCTTCTTACTCCGAGGCACTTGTAATGGAAAACCGGGGGCGAGGCAGGAGTAAGAGTAGGGTTCCGCACAACCGTGATAAATCTAGAGGTCGTTCAAGCTCGATGTCAAAAAAGGATGTTGAATGCTATTATTGTCACAAGAAAGGGCACATGAAGCGGGAATGTAGAAAACTCAAGTTTAAGGAGCAGAACAAAGAGAAAAAGCAAATTGATACAGCTGTAGTTACCGATGATGAACACATGATTATCCGTGATGATGCTAGCGTTAATTTGATTGGCCAAGAGACGGATTGGGTAATTGATTCTGGAGCTTCATTTCATGTTACTTCGCGGGCTGATTTCTTTACTTCTTACTCACAAGGTGATTTTGGAAATGTCCGTATGGGAAATGAAGATGTGTCAAAAATTGTCGGCATGGGTGACATTTGCTTGGAAACAAATATTGGATGCAAATTGCTGCTTAGAGATGTGAGGCATGTACCAGATATTCGACTCAATTTAATCTCTGCTGGAAAGTTAGATGATGAAGGTTACATCAACAATTTCAGTAATGGAAAATGGAAGCTCTCCAAAGGTTCTCTAGTGGTAGCAAAAGGAAAAAAGACTTGTTCTCTTTACACTATGCAAGCAAAAATTTGCAAGGGTGTTGTGAATACCTTAGAGAATGACTCATCCACTGATTTATGGCATAGAAGGCTTGGACATATGAGTGAAAAAGGATTGCAAGTTTTGTCCAAAAAAGAGCTTCTAGTGGGGATAAAAGGTACGCCTTTGAAAACTTGTGTTCATTGTTTCCATGGTAAACAAAACAGAATATCATTCCGTAGAAACATTGCATCTAGAAAATCTCATGTTTTAGATTTGGTACATTCTGATGTATGTGGTCCTTTGAAAGTTAGGACACTTGGTGGTGCTCTATACTTTGTCACTTTTATTGATGATCACTCTAGAAAAGTTTGGGCTTATACACTGAAAACTAAAGATCAAGTTCTAGATGTGTTTAAGATTTTTCAGGCCAAGGTTGAAAGAGAAACAGGTAGACAGTTGAAATGTGTTCGCTCGGATAATGGTGGTGAATATATTGGACCATTTGATCAGTATTGCACAAATCATGGTATCAGGCATGAAAAGACAGTTAAAAAGACACCTCAACAGAACGGGGTTGCAGAGAGAATGAATCGCACCATTCTTGAGAGAGTCAGATGTTTGCTCTCACATTCTAAATTGCCAAGATCCTTTTGGGGTGAGGCAATGAGGACCGCAGTTGATCTTATCAATTTGTCTCCTTCAGTTCCGTTGAATGGTGATGTGCCAGAGAAAGTTTGGACAGGGAAGGAAGTCTCCTATGATCACTTGAGGGTATTCGGCTGCAGAGCTTTTGTTCATATTCCAAAAGATGAAAGGTCCAAGCTTGATCCAAAAGCAAAGCAATGCATATTTCTTGGCTATGGGCATGAAGAATTTGGATACAGGTTGTATGATACAGTTGACAAGAAAGTTGTCAGAAGCCGAGATGTTGTTTTCTTGGAAGATCAGACTATTGAAGACATCGACAAGCTTGAGTCAGCTGAGTCTAGTACTGATGATCTTGTTGATTTAGATCCTCTCAATCCCTCTGTTGTTCATGATATTGATGAGGAAGTGCAAACACCTCATGATGATGCAGCAGAAGATGATGTTGAGCCAGAGATTGAGGGGGAGCAACCACCCCAAGAGCCACTACCACAGACACCGTTAAGGAGATCTACTAGAGAAAAACAGTCATCCAGAAAATATTCTTCAAATGAGTATGTGATGATATCAGATCAGGGGGAGCCAGGGACTTATCAAGAAGTCTTGAAGCATGAGAACAAAACTGAATGGTTCAAGGCAATGAAAGAGGAAATGAAGTCTTTGCATGAGAATCACACCTATGATTTGGTGAAGCCGCCTAAAGGGAAGAAAATTTTGAAAAATAAATGGGTCTTCAGACGAAAGAATGATGGGAACAGTTCTCAACCGAGATTCAAGGCACGACTTGTCGTGAAAGGTTTTGATCAGAGAAAGGGAGTTGATTTTGATGAGATCTTCTCACCAGTTGTGAAGATGTCCTCCATTCGAACTGTGCTTGGTATAGCTGCGAGTATGAATTTAGAAGTTGAGCAGCTTGATGTGAAGACCGCATTTTTGCATGGTGACTTAGAAGAGGAAATTTATATGGAGCAACCTGAGGGCTTCAAAGATAAGGGTAATGATCAGTTAGTTTGCAAATTGAAGAAGAGCTTGTATGGATTGAAGCAAGCACCGAGGCAGTGGTACAGAAAATTCGATGCTTTCATGAGTGAGAATGGGTATTCAAGAACCACTTCAGACCATTGTGTGTTTGTGAAGAAATATAAAGATGGTAATTTTATTATTCTCTTGCTTTACGTTGATGATATGCTTATTGTGGGCCAAGACACGAGTAAGATTAGCAAGTTGAAGTCAGAGTTGAGTAAGTCCTTTGCCATGAAGGATTTGGGTCCAGCAAAGCAAATTCTTGGGATGAGAATTGTTCGTGACAGATCACATGGGCTGATTTGGTTATCTCAAGAGAATTATATTAAAAAGGTTCTTGAGAGGTTCAATATGGACAAAGCAAAGCCTGTTAATTGTCCACTTGCAGGCCACTTCAAACTAAGCTCAAGTCAGTGTCCTACAAGTGATGAAAAGAGAAATGAGATGCAGAAAATTCCCTATGCTTCAGCAGTTGGTTCTTTGATGTACGCCATGGTTTGTACTCGACCGGATATTGCTCACGCAGTTGGGGTTGTCAGTCGATTTTTGTCTAATCCAGGGAAAGAACACTGGGCAGCAGTGAAATGGATTATGAGGTATCTTCAGGGCACTTCAAAGATGAGTTTGTGTTTTGGTAAAGGCGAGCCTATTCTTGATGGGTTCACAGATTCTGATATGGCTGGTGATGTTGATAGTCGAAAATCTACTTCTGGTTATTTGATTACTTTTGCAGGGGGAGCAGTGGCATGGCAATCAAGATTACAGAAATGTGTTGCTCTCTCCACCACAGAAGCTGAGTTCATCGCCATCACTGAAGCTTGCAAAGAATTATTGTGGTTGAAGGAATTCTTACAAGAGTTGGGTTTGAAACAAGAAAGGTATGTCCTTCATTGTGATAGTCAGAGTGCAATCCACTTGAGCAAGAATTCTTCATTTCATTCGAGATCGAAACATATTGATGTTAGATATCATTGGATTCGTGATGTCTTGAATGATAAGTTGTTACAACTTGAAAAAATTCACACTGATGATAACACTTCGGATATGTTAACTAAGGCATTGACTAAGGACAAGCATGAGAAGTGTCGACTTTTGGCGGGAATGGTCGAATCCTCCACATAAGTCGGGAGGGGGAGAATTGTTGGGTTTCCCTCCTTTGTGGGACTCATCAATTTGCTAATTTTTTGGTGGCTTACCCGTGTAGGACTCTTATCCAAGGCTTGGTTTGGAGTCTTCTAGTTAAAAAGGAATTTGGCAGCCACAAAGACTATAAGTTTTGTCCTTTTCTTTGGTTCATCTATTCTCGGTTGGTTGGCAAGAAGACATATTTTTCGGCAGTCTTTGGTTCAACAAAAATTCAGCCTTCTTCTTCTCCTTTTTTGGTGCCAGAAAAATCTGCAAATTTGTTCTTCAAGTGGGTAATATTTCTTCACTTGATATTTGGGTTTCTTGCGGTTTGTTCTTGGAGATTTGGTTCACTTATTTTGTGAGGTATTTTCCTCTTGTGATTTACACCTTGGTGTGTTTGTAAGGCTTATGCCTTTTGGCCACTTTGTAATCTGATTTGGTGATAGTGGAAGAAACTGACCTACCGGTCGTCGTGGATGTACCTCAAGTTATTTGAGGGAACCACGTAAATCTTGTGTGCTTATTTATTTTCTGTTATTTTATTTATATTGCTTCCATTGATTTACACTTGTGGGAAAGCCTATTTTCCCAACATTATTCTCATCAAGCCTGTTGGGACTTGATTTTTTTTTTTTTTTTTTATTTCGAAGCTTAAAATTAACAAAGTTTTAGTCAAATCACAGTGGATCACTTTTCTATGGATGTCCCGAAAATATGAAAAATGATATATAGATCTTGAATTTTGACAGAATACCTTGATTTGGTTCTGTTAATTACAATTTGTCTTGGTGCATTCATACTAAAACAACACCTAAAGATCAGTTTAGTACAAAATTAATGTGAATCTAGAAGGGGGGGATTAGATATAGATTTAGTCTTTAACATTAGAGGAATGTTATTAAAACTTAAAAATTTGACATAGTTTGTCGACCTAATGATGTGCTTTCATTGTAACTGTTGAATTAACATTAAATTCTAATATGTAATGGAGTCTATATCAATCCAATGACTATAGTGAATTAAGTCAACAAATTAGGTCTCAATAGTATTGCTCTTAACATTATCCACAGTGTTGTTATTGGACTAAATTTGAACAACTAAACCAAGACATCTACACTAATAGTGTAAATGGGTATATTTACAAACATTATAAAGTAATATTTAAAAAGAAATTTCAATTGGATAAAGCTTTCACCAATTAAAAAAAAAAAAAACTATACTATGATTCATTTATTTAGAAATAAAAAAGATGATATTACTTTGATAATTTAACATAACAGTAAGTGAAGAATTAAAACTATCACAAAGGTTATGTATAGTTCTATTTTGTTTTATCTTCTAGTTTTTAGTTTATTATGGCCAAGAGTATGTGTAGGAGATTAACCATATGAGAATATGCAATTAATTCTATGACCATCTGTAGCAACTATTCTTGATCTTCATACTGAGAGAGTCAACGTGAGATTAATATTATGTTCCCCTCGAGGCTTCTCAATCAGTGAAATACTTCTTGGCTGACGATCACCAAAAATTTGTGAATCAATATCATCATTACACATACAATAGTCTTCATCCAAACAAACTTGGCATGGGAGATCCACATTAATCCGATTTGGCATTTGCAAAGCAGAAGGCTGTCAAATAAATTAATTTTGCAATCAATATTCACAAAAGTATCAATAATTGTCTGTCATATCGTATTTCATTTATGAATTCAACATATTTAATAACACGTTCTTCTACAATGCTATGCTAATATGAAAGCATATACATAAAACACAAGATTCACCTGCATTTAGTGTATTATTATATTTGGAAACTTGAAATCAAATAGCAATTAAAGTTGGTCATTTTCCTATCACATTATTTTGTGTTATAAAATGAAACATTTGCAAAGTATGAGAAAACTATAATGCTAGAGATGGAGAATGTTTGTGCAATACAACAGTTGAATATAAACTTTAACAAACTATAAACAGGAGGAGTTAGGAATTATTTTTCACCTTCCTCGAAACTGTTCCATCTTCTCCGACATGCCACCCCGCTTCATCACACAAAGCTTTTAACAAATCATTAGTATCGGAATGCTTGGGAAGCTGGTAGTTGCCATGAGCCCGAAGTCCCGCAAAGATCTTTTGAGCTACAGCTCGTCGATTACGCTCCCTTTGCTTATTTTTCTGTCGCTCCCTATCAGAAGGATAACGAAGCTTGCTAACTACACCTCCATTTTTGCTGGTTCTATGAACTAACCAAGGTCCTTTGCTATCCTTGATGCACCCTTTAAGAACACACTTCTTTTCTTTTGGCAGAACCTTCTTACCTCTCTCCATCCCCTTCAGTTTGCTTCTCACCATAGTTCCTATTTATAGAGCACAAAATAGAGACAAAAAACATAGAAAGAGAACAAAAGGGCCTACTTTGTATGTCTGCAGCTTTTATGTGGTGTGTTCAGTATGTTGTCTCTAGTTGTCTGAGTTTTATTCTTCTTGCTTCGGCTATTAATGGAAGTTTGCTTAAGGTAAAACAAAGTTTGGAAATTAGAAACACCATAAGCTCTTGGTGTTCAGTTTACACATTAAAACGGACTTAATACGATACGAATCCCAAAATAATACCACCAAATATCGATTATTGCAAGTAACAAATGAGCTGGCTGTGGCTTGGTATTAGACAAGAATAACCCATTTAATTAGTATTGTTGTTACAAACTGCATGACCTTTTTTAATTCAAACATGACCCAAATATGAGATGAACCCAAAAAGGGACATGACTCCAATATGATAGATAAAAAATGGCATGTCACGACTTGATTGATACTCATAATTCCAACCATGAAATTTTTTATGGATACGGCAAAACCCGAACTCTCTTGAGGATTAGTTGCAGTGGTGTGACAAATTTACTCATTCAAATATAATGCAGACTGTGGATGACACTTGATCCCAGTACTACTAGTAGTCTCTGCGACTGCACTAAAGCAGTTGAATCCCAACCTTTGATCAATGACCAGCATTTTATGTAACATTAGCTTAGACATCGGAAAGATTAAAGTTGTTCTGGTTGGGGCAAAAATGGAAGCTCCGGGAACTAAGGTATTCCCATGCATGCAGAGGAAACAAACTTTACCTTTGACAGAGCAGAAGCAGATGATATTCGATGCCCATGAAAAAATGAATACAGGGTACAGTAGACTGTACGGATTCTTTTTTGTTTTGCCATGTGTCAAACACAGTAATGTGAAAGATTAAAAAAAAAAAAGAGGAAGGAATCAAAAGAAACAGTACTACTCAAGAGGGGTGGGTCTTCATGATAATTTCAAATCCTCTCATGAAACCATCCATTGATGTTAGTGGTTGATTGAAAAATATAAAGATGGATGATGGGCGGTTGCATCAAGACTAAGAAATGTGCGCCTCATGCCTTATGGTGGGGTCGGTCTCATTCAATGATTTCCAAAGAAGCAAAGCATAGAGGATGTTGATAATTATTAACAGTACTACCTGAAGGACTCACGGTGAGTGTGTGGAAGAGTTCTCCTTTAATTTCCCTTTTCTTCTGCTGCTGGTGGTAGTGTGTGTTTTTGTGTTTTGGGGGGGGGGGGGGGGGGGGGGGTGTCTGTGTTAGTTACTCTATAGAAGATTGGTGTATGTTCCAGAAAGCGGAATCTGCTAGAGGAGGTACCTTTATTAATGGGGTGGGACAAACTTGAACCCTTAGTATTTTCTCTATATATTTAGATGTATATAGGCTCAATCTCCTTTCAATTTCTGTAACTTAATTAACAGGATCAATTCATCAATTTTCTTACCTTTGCAATGTGTATAATAGTGAGATAACTGGTATTTGCAATGTGTAATTTGTAGGAAATTTTCAGAATAGAACTTCATAAATTTGATGAATAGAGAGTTAGCCTTTGAGAATTAAAAATTCTCTTTGATATGAAAACAGTAGAATTGAGATTTTCCCACAATGAGTTTTATCTCAAAATCGGTGTTTTCTGGTGTCTTCTAACATTATTTATAAGGAAGGATATATCAGCTAACCGCTCAACTAGTTGTTCCCACTCAGTATAATAACCTCAACTCTCCTAATATTTTATCAAGTCGACCAATATTTTCTCAACTCTCTGCAGTTAAGTAAGATTGCCTAGTCTTTTATTACCTGATGGATTCCTTTAGCCAAGTCACAAATATTCAATTATATTCAATATCCAATTATATCAATAAAATATATTTGTATGCATGCACCATTATAAAATAATATTTAATATATAATAATTTCACAAAAAAAATGCATCAATGATATATGTCATGAATAATGTAATATTTAATCAACGGATTGAGATTTTATATATTTCAAATTTGACTGCAACTTATGACATAATTAATATCGAGAGATTTTAGTCACATTCCAATATAATTAACAAAGCCATTTTTTTCTCAACACTTAATAGACATCAAATTTCCTAGGGCCCACATAAATTTAAGGCTGCATTGAGCAAGGAAATGATCAACAGTAATGCCATGCCGATTAAATCAGATTCTATTCAATTAAAATTCCATAGAAAACAGCCAGCTTGAAAAATATACAACAATTTTGCTATCTATATCTTCGACAAACAAAAACAGGTCATTCGGAAATATTTTGGAAAAATACATTGTTATGTTCTGTTGTTCATTTTGGGTAATTTGAAGAAGGGGAGAGAGTCTCACCCATTGGCGAGGCCTAACATTATGTTGAGTGTTCCCACTCTTTCTATCTTTTTTTTTTTTTAATCTAAAAGTTAAGCCTTATTTTGATGAAAGACTCGCTTATAGGAGGCTTACTTGAATTCATGATTAGTAAGTGTATTAGAGAAAATTCCATTGAATTTTTTAAATATATGACGAATTGAAAGTCGATAAAATTTACTAGGCAATCTCATGACCTTGGTGTAATTATTCTAAAATGCAAGCATGATTGATTAATTATTCAATTATACTTGTGATCTTTATTCCTATTTTTTCCCTTTTAATTTTTGGATGAAACAAGAGTCCCAAATATGACCAAAAGTCAATCTTTTTATCCTTCACTTCGATAAGAGGAAATACAAAAAATCAACACAAAAAAAGGAGGGGAAGAAAAAAGGCAACCTTCTTACTCCTCGTACTACATTAGTAACCCACCCTAAAGTCTCCTCATAGGTCATGTAAAATCCATACCAGCCCGGGGTCCGATAATCCTTCTGTGCTTTTCTTCTTTTTTTTTTTTGGTAACGGGAAAATTCCATGGCCTGTTCTCAATGAGTAGAGATACACTTATATTGTTCAGGCTCGTAACTCTGAGTAGAACTAATGACAAATTTGAGTTTATTTCTTCAATTCATATACCAGTTAAATCAAGACTTGTGTTTCGGTGGAGACTCAAGACCCACACCAGAGACTTGGATACGGTTCGTCCAAGTAATTGAGGTCTTGTTCTACCAAACAGTCATGCTATTGCGCCCAGGAAACTTCGAATCCTTGACCTCCCACTAAGAAGCCAAAGGCTCTGGCCAACTGAACTACCCCAGTTGGATTACTTTTTCTTAGTAGTCCCTACGAATATAATCAAAAATTTATGAAATTTTGAATCCGAAGAAAAACCCCAACCAATAAATATGAAAATCCAATCTTCTATTTTGTTTTCTTAACCAAAGAGATTTGAGAAAGTTAGGATTCCACCCCAAAGTGCTGAGGTATAGACTTTGAGTGAACCATCTTCCTTTCTTTTATTATTTGATACAAGAAAAGGCCTTTTTATAGTAAAGGGAAGAATGGGTTGGGAAAGGGTGTTAGGCTCTCAATATGATGAAATTGGATACTCAGTTTCAAACGAATTTGAAACTGATACAGACGATTAGGATTTTGCAATCATAATTTAATCGAATCATAATTCGCATGGACTAAATCCTTACCACACTTTTAGATAGTGAATTTGTATCTAAACTAGTTTAAAAAAAAAAAAATAATCTTGAGGCCGGGATTTGAGGTATCATACAATTTGGAGTTCATATAGGTTTGATCTCAACACTTGAATGACATCAATGATGTGCCCAAATTTTTCCTAAAGGAACAAAAGCACCACAATCCACTCAAACGCGGCCATGGTCATAAAATGTTTCTCGTGACATTTAGGGGTGTAATTTAGACGGGTCAATTTAAATTCAACACAAAAAAAATTAAAGTTTTGGTTGAGATTTTTAATATCAAAGTTGGGTCTAAGTTGAAAAATATTAATTCGAATTGAATTTGAGCAATACCTCGATTGAGGTCTTGTGTTATCGGATTTAACCTGAAAATTAAATCCGACTCATTCATTTAAAATAAATATATAAATCAATAGTAATATCACTTACGACTAGAGTTTAGTGTGTTGGTTGTGGTGTTTCAAATATTGTAGAATCACTTATTTAACTTTCTGATTTGAACTATGTAAAATAGTAACAAACAAGTATGAAACACAAAAGAGTTACATCAAACAGTTACACGTATATTGTTTGTTTAAACAATATAAATAATAACCCGATTGCAGAACAGAAACTGTTATTGAACTTTAGATAGATCAAGAGTAGTGTTTGACACTATATCCTTAAGACAGATTTTTCCCCTACACACGATGCTTATGGAAACCGAGCATCTACCTCCCAGGATATAATTATCATTACACGAACAAAAATAGCACTCCAATCTGCCCGTCCAACGAACCAATATTGTGTTGTGTACTCTCTCTAAATGTACTGCCTTAATGCTAAAAATGATATGTTCTAATGTCTGTCTTATTGTCTAAAACGGACTGATTGAAAATTATAATTAATGGAAATAAATCTGGGTATTTATAAACACATTGGTGACTTTTTGGACAGTCATCTTACTAAAGGACACAACTCATAATGATAAGACACAACAGCCAGTAGACACCTTGGGTAACTGTTCTCCATGAATAGACACAATTTAATTCTGTCCAACAGGTGGCAACAAACCCGATCCAGTGCAATCCAACGGGTACTGAAATTAAATTTTGGGTTAAGAGATTTTCACGCCATTAATTAAATGAATTTTTTCCCAAAAAGATAAGGTTTAGTCTAAACCACACCCACACCCGGCCCTGTCGGGTCGTGGCCAGGCGCGCGCACGTGTGTGGTTGAACCGAAGGCATGTAGGTGTTCGCTCCGCTCATAAAACTGTGGTTCCCCTTGGGCCCCAATCCCATAGAGCAAACTTGGCCTATACATGCCCATGTTGAATTTCTTCCTCAACTAATGTGAAATTGGTGTCACATTCCACATTACACTTCCTTTATTTTCATGTTTCAAGAGGGTCGCTTTGGAGCCTA